AAAGAACATATCAGATAACCTTGTAAAAACATCAAAATGCATAATAAATCAGTAAATCGTCATTTACTAATTTGTTATTGATCTTAGTTTCTTAGCTTTATATAATGGTTGGGAATAAGATAATAGTCTAGAAATATGTATTAATGCTTCTTTTATCATTTTACAAAATATCTTTCATATTTCCACAATGTCTCTAATTTTTAGAATATTTCCCCTCGACATTCCCGACATTTCCGACATATGTCCTATATTTTGGTAAGCGACATTTCCATTGACATCGACATTTTAAACCTTGAGCCAAACACCCTGAGAACAAAAACCCCTAATATGCCAACGAGTGAGCAAGAAAATAGCAGAGATTACAGAGCAACCTGCTCTGATACCATTTCAACAGACCCAGAGCAGAATACAGAATTCTGGGGATGAATAATGATGATTCAACCCTACCCCAAGGGCCCTTTATATAGAAAGCAAATTAAAGATATTACAGAGAGACCCTTGTAGGGCAGCACAATTTAGAGAATTTACAGAGAGGCCGTTGCAGGGCTAAAGTGAAAATAATAATAAATAAGAGAAAACAATACAATAAGGACTACAATAAAATGGTACATCAGGGAGTTTCTTCACATCTCTAAAATGGCACATTTTATGCCCTGTTAAAAGACCTACGATACATCTAATGTAGCTATAAGTTGTACTTCCATAAGGTGGTTATACTACATGGTGTGCTGAAAAGCATAACTTCAAATAGGGACAACAAATCTATCAACCACTTTTGGTGGACTTTATGGAAGAGTTTGGGGACTGGAGTTGTGCTTCAGTAGTGCCACTCATCCTCAAATTAATGGGTAAATTGAAGTTGTTAATATAAGTTTGGGTAATATTCTTTGCTATCTAGTTAAGGACAGGCCTAAACAATGGGACTTGGCACTTCCTCATGCAAAGTTTGCCTACAACAGGTCAAGAAATTGTATTATTGGTCTGTCTCCATTTGGGGTGGTCAATAGAGCTAATCCCAACAATGTTCTAGACTTTATTCCAGTGCCAAATCCAAGTAAACCAGCTGGAGACATTTCTGAACTACTGCCAACATAAAAAAGATATATGAGCAGGTCCGAAAGTAAATCGAGAATAGCAATGCGGGATACAAAAGGGAAGCAGATTTGAAGAGAAGGAAGCTAATTTTCAGCAAAGAAGATCTTGTGTCGGTTTATCTTCATAGGGGTAGAATCAAGAGTGGCAAGTAACAGCCACAAAAGGTTGGTCCATGCAAGATTCTAAGGAAGATAAATGATAATGCATACAAGGTGGAGCTGCCCAGAAAAGTGAACACTTTAATATATTCAACTTTGCTGATTAACTTAGACAGTGGTGGCAATGCAGACTTGAGGTCAAATGTCTCTAAATCTATGAATGTTGTCAAACCATTGAATGCACATTTTTATCATATTCATGTTCGTAACTTGTCATATATAGCAAAGAAAAACAGAGTTCTAAAGAAGTTCAAATAAAAGCTTCTAAAAATCCATCTTCTCTATAAAAAACCAAATATAATAAAGTAAGTTCAGCAATGGGCCACAGGAATGCAACAAACCTGGTCTTTCTGCACATTAACATGAACAATATTAGATGTTTTAGATGTTTTCATCTTCAGATCAGCTGGCTTCTGTTGTATTCCGACCTACAAAATCACAAAACTCAAAAAATACTAATGTATCAGTATCATGACATCAAAACGCAACTAAAATCATTTCAAGTAAAATTATCAACACATTTATTAGTAAGACTGAAATGCTCAACCTAGTTGGAGTTTGGGCTTGGGATTATAGATTCCCAACCATTTTTTATGCCTCTTTTGAATGGTTTGGTCGTTGGTTGAGCTGAACCTCGTTTAGTGGGTTTCGTAGCTCACGTTTCAGCCTTATTTTAGTGCCAAAAAAATTCTAGTCTCATACCAGATCTGTTCAGTTACTATTTTATGTCGCTTAGTGGGTCTCATATCACTATCCTAAGTTTAGTGATAGAAACTCCTCTTAGTCTAGGGTCAATTGGTACAAAGGTTAAGCTGGCTGATAAATCTGCTAAGAAAATGGAGGAATGGGAAGTTGATAATTCTATAATTATATCCTAGTTGTTAGGGTCAATTGATACATCCATTATTCTACAGAAAAATCCATGTGGGATTATTTGGAAATGGTGTATAAGTAGACAAATGTGGCAAGGAAATTTCAGTTAGAACATCATATATTCATGTACACTCAAGGGAATAAGAAAGTCACTGAATATTATGCAGGGTTTATCTCCCTCTAGATAGGACTGGAAATGTTGTATTTCACTAGTGATTCTATATTCAATGAAAAGTTAAACAGTTTCTCATGTAGTTTGTGCCCAGAATTTGGGGAGTTACTGAGGGTGGAAACTTGTAATGCAACCTCAAGAAATATTTGAAGCAAAAAAAGAATCTGACATGGCTCCTATAGCACAATCCTTTAAGGTTCAAGGAGCATGTGGTAGGGATTTTTTCCTTATGTAGTGTCATGAATGTGAAGTCTATGGCCACATTGTATCCCACTACAAAAATCAGAATTTCTGTCTATTGAAAGAAGCAAGGGCATGTAATGAATGAGTGTCAAGCCACATCTTTTCAAGGGAGGAAGGTTTACAAGGAATATTAGGCCACTACAAACAAGACACAATCTGTCGCCCCATCTTCTAGGTCTACTACAACCTCCTAAGGCCAAACCTCTAAGGCATCTAATGGTTTTTTTTTCTGAACAAGGTTCAAACAATTGTTGCTTCTGCCATCTCTTCTACCTTTTCAACTACAGGACTTTCTGGTAAGCCTTGTTACTTTAGTTCTCTTGCTAATCCTCTTTGGATCATTGATTCTAGAGCATCAAATCACTTGACTTCTGTTTCACCTAGTTCAACTTATACTCTATTTTTGTAATAATCAAATTTTTACTGCCAATGGTGATAAGCTTCAAAACCTTGACATTGACAATTTGACTCTTTTCCACTACTCCTTCAGGTTTATTGTCTTTAGAGCAAGTATTTCTTGTACCTAAACTCACCATCAATCTGATTTCTATTGGAAAACTTCCTAACAATGGGTATAATGCTCATTTCTCACATAGTGGTCGTTTGATTCAGGACCAACTCATTGGGAGATGACAGGAAGCCAGGAAGGAATCATAAGGTTGGACATCTCTTTGCATCATGACTCTTCATTGCATAGTTGTTTTGTTTGCTTCTTCTGGCTCTTCTCATGATACTTTTTGGTATCATGTTCATTTCCTTCTTTTACTCTTTTCAATACTTCTCTGTTTTAACAATTATATCATCATCCTCCAAATTACTCAACTCTACATGTCTTTGGTTGTGTTTGTTTTGTTCACTTCCCTCCACATGAACGTACCAAGTTGTTAGCTCAATTTGCTATGTGTGTCTTTCTAAGTTATAGTCCTCATCACAAGGTTTCCTTTGTTATTATCCATCTCTCCCTTATATGAGTACCTCAAGGAATGTTTTTCAAACAAGTGCTCAAGTGACTGAGTACTTCTTTTGTTGTTCTTCRTGATTTTGATGTCCCTAACTAAAAGCTAAATGATGTTTCTACTCATTCGGCCTTCTAAAGCTTCTTTGCAGCTCTATCTGAGACGTCTAAGTATTGCCATTTCCCTCCACCTTCTCCTTTGCATCATTCATCTCGTACATCTCATCTTCCTAAATGCTAGTTTCCTTCCCCCATAGCTTCTTTTCTATTGTTTTTCAAGCTACAAATATTCCTAAAAATTATCAAAAAATCCTTCTTGTTTGATGTAGTCGGAAAAACAAATTACATGCAACACTTCAAGTGTACAACAATAATCACAAGTAATACCAAGTTGAAAACAACAAAACAAGTTGGATTTTTAGGGATTTCAGATTTGAACATGAAGTAGAACTCCTCCTGGAACAGTTCCATTATAGTAACAATGACATCGAGCTGGCCTCCAACATGGACACGCAATGATAGAGGGATTGGAAGGTGCCAAGATGGGTTGATTCCTCAAAACCCATGCTCCCAGTACTTGAAAACCCTAGTTGGGGCTGAGTTATAGCTCAAACAAGGGAGAAACAACCAAAAAGACCCCTATAGAAACAACCCCCTTCTCTTTTATAAAACTCAATAGCTTGGAGAAGCCAATTAAAATACTTACAAATGAGCCTCTAGAATGTTTCCCTTTCACAAACAACTCCTTAAGAACAAAGCTAACTTCAAACAAACCCCCCTGTTAGAGTTGGCCGAGTAGGGGTAACCTAGTCTTTTTCATTTTACTTTTAAGTGGTGACTTGGCAACACTGTTTTATTTTAAATTTCTTGTCCCATACATACGTAGGGGGATATTTGACTTTGTACCCTTAATGGATATAATAAAAGGTTATGGTCAACTAGGAGGGTTTAGACTCTCTGAATAGAACTTGTCTGAACCATCAAAACATGGTATCAGAGCGATAAATACAAAAAAGTAAGGCTGTGATCTCAAAGTTTCTGGACCTGCAATCTCTCCTCTTCTTATTTTCTCATTTTTTCTGAGCTATGGTCCGGGTTACACCAAGTAGAAGGCTGTGGCAACCTTATTGGTGATTCCAGGACTGCCACAATCTCCGTTACAGGTGTTAGGAAGGTGTGGCAGCCCTAGGTTGGTGATTCTAAGATTGTTGTCACCATGAGTGACAGCCCTAGTGTTTGTGCGGTCGTGTGTATGGTGGTTCAGACCCTCTACTGAGCAGTTTCAAGAGGGTTTTCTTCCTTGTTTGTTGTAGTTATGGTGGTTGGCTATCAATAGTGGTGTGAGGAATTTTTTTTGAAGGAGATGGCCGAATGGGTCTGAATGGATGGTGGTAGTTTTTTTTTTTATGGTGGCTGGTTGAAAGAGTGTCGTAAGGTGATGTGTAGACTGCAGTAGTGTTGACTTAACAGCAGAAATATTTTTCTTTGGTTGGTTGATAATTCAAAGTAGGAAGAGTAATTGATAGTTACATGTATTGAGAACACCATGGCAGCAACCGGAGAYGGTGGTAGTGATCAGAAATCTAGTGTGATGGTCCCCTCAGACTACTTAGTTGTGCAGATGACATTAATTAAACTTAATGGTGAAAATTATGTGCCATGGGCCAAGTCGGTAGAGCTTTTTCTCAAGGCCAAGAGGAAGGTGAAACATGTGAAGGAGGATAAATCATCATCTGAATCTCCAGGGTTTGATGATTCGGAACAAGAGGATGCCCAAATCATGACAGGGTTATGGAACAGTATGGAACCCAAGATAAGTGCAAACTTTATATTCTTAGATACAACCAAGGAAATATGGGAACATGCAAAAAACTTTATGCTGGAAAGGACAATACTACGAGAGTATATCAGCTTTATCAGGAGTACTTTAATTTATAGCAAGGAAATCAAACCCTTGAAGAGTATTATGCTAGTACGAGGAACCTCAAGAATGAACTTAATGTCTATCGCCCCCTCACTTCGGATGTCAAAATTCAGCAACAACAACGGAAGCAACTTGATGTAACCAGGTTTTTAGTAGGGTTGAAATCAGAATACAAACCAGTTAGAGCACAAATATTGGGAGGTTCTGCTCTTCCTACACTTGAGGAAGTATTTTCTCGGCTTTGTAGGATTCCCCTGGGACCCATAGAGAATACCACATCTTTTGACAGATCAGTGTTTGTTGTAGTGGGGGTAGTCCCATGTTTGGTCGTGGTAGTGGAAGTGGTGGAGGTCGTGACTCAGGGGGAGGCCGTGGTAGAGGAAGAGGGCACACTACTAGGAAGTGTACACATTGTGGCAGGGAAGGACATTCAATTAATTTCTATTATGATCTACATGGCCCACCTTCCACATGGGCTAACCATGCAATTGCTGGTAGTGGTGATGTGGTGATGTGGTGATGTGGTGATGTGGTGATGTCAGTTCCATTCTTCTCGAGTAATGATGTTCCTCCTCCTGCTCCTATGTTTCCACTTCCAGTTCCAGTTGAGGACCCTCTTCCTACGGTTTCTGTTCTATCTCAGTCGTCATCTTCTCCAGTGCAGGTTAATACTGAGAAGCCACTAATCACACAAGTGTATACTCACAGAAGAGCACCAGCCCCTCCTCCAGTTCAACCCTCGTCAACGGGACCTGCAGTTGCACCTCCTCCTTCTGACCTTGATCTTCTTATTGCATTGCGGAAAGGTAAACGTAGTTGTACATCTCATCCTATTTCTCATTATGATTCTATTGCTCACCTTTCCACTTCCCATCGACAATTTATATCCTTGTTATCATATGTTTCCATTCCTAAGACTGTCTAAGAAGCCATCACTTTTCTAGGGTGGCAGCATGCAATGGAAGAGGAATTGTCTGCACTGGCACACAATCACACATGGGAACTTACCACTCTCCCTCCTGATAAACATGTCGTTGGATGTAAGTGGGTCTACACAATGAAATATCTTCCAATTGGTAGTGTGGAACGATTGAAAGCTAGGTTAGTGGCCAAAGGCTATTCTCAGTTATATGGTGTTGATTATACGGAGACATTTTCTCCTATGTCTAAGATTGGTTCAGTTCGGGCATTGATTTCTTTACTAGCAATGTAAGATTGACCCCTCTTTCAGCTTGACATAAAAAATGCCTTCTTACACGGTGATCATGTTGAGGAGGTATATATGGAGCAACCACCAGGGTTTGTTGCTCAGTGGGAGGATGGTAAAGTTTGCAGACTTAAGATGGCGATTTATGGACTGAAACAATTTCCATGTGCATGGTTTGGCAGATTCAGCCAAGTAGTGAAGAACTTTGCATGAAACAGTGCCAAGTAGACCATTCTGTGTTCAACCATGAATCAGAAACTAGAGGCGTACGCCTCATGCACATCTTATATAAAAAGATAGAAAAAAAGAAAAAAGAATAAAAAAAGGAAAGGAAAGGAGGCTTACGCCTCCTTGTGTTTGGAAGGCTTATGCCTCTTGCATTCTGAACTACACCTCATRCCTCTAGGTAGTGGAACGCCTCGCGTCACGCCTCCATGTTTTAAAACATTGGTCATAACTGGAAGTGACAGCAATGAGATTGAAAGGTTGAAAAGCTTTTTATAGGATCACTTCCACACAAAAGATCTGGGTAAGCTAAAATATTTCTTAGGAATAGAAGTTGTAAGGTCAAGGCATGGCATTAACTTGTGCCAAAGGAAGTATGTCCTTGATTTACTTGAAGAAATAAGGTTGTTGGGTGCCAAACCAACTGAAACACCTACGGAACCGAATGTTAAGTTGAGTATTGATGCAAGTGAAGAGTTTGCTGACCCTAGAAGGTACATGAGATTGGTGAGTAACTTGAACTACCTAACTATTACTCGGCTAGATGTATTGTTTCCAATAAGCATGGTGAGTCAGTTTACACAGCATCCTCGGGTTCCACATTGGGAAGCAGTCCTAAGAATTGTTAGGTATTTGAAGGGAGCTCCAGGTCGTTGACTATTATACAAGAGTGGAGGAACTCTTGAGATAGAGGGGTATAAAGATGTTGATTAGGTCGGATCTATGTCTGACAGGAGATCCACTACAGGGTATTGTACCTTCCTTGGTGGCAATATCGTAACTTGGAAGAGCAAGAAACAAACAGTGGTGGCAAGAAGCAATGCAGAAGCTGAGTATAGGGCTATGGCTCATACTACATGTGAACTAGTGTGGCTAAAAAATCTTTTACAGGAAATGGGGTTCTCAATAAACAGACCCAAGAGGTTGTACTACAATAATCAAGCTGTTGTCCACATTTCTTCTAATCCAATCTTTCATGAGAGAACAAAGCATATCGAAGTTGACTGCCAGTTTGTAAGAGAAAAGGTGATCGGTGGAGTGATAAATACAGCTCATGTGAGTTCAGGAAACCAGTGGGCAGATATGATTACAAAAGGGTTAAGTCAAGGAAGAGTGGATTAGATATGTGGCAAGCTGGGACTATAAGATATATACTCTCCAGCTTGAGGGAGAGTGTTAGAATTGATAGTACAAGGGTAGTTAAGTCTTTTGTCTATCTAATTGAGGTTAAGTTGTCTATTTTGTCTGGGTTTAAGTTGTGTGCCTCATACTTAATAAGGGACAAATCTGTTTTTTGTAATCTAATAAAAGAGTATAAATATAGAGTGGGTCAGCTGAGAATGCGTGGCTTTTCTTCTTCTCAGACCGAACCCTTTCTCCTTCTCTTCTCTTCTTTCTCTTCTTCTTCTTCTCTTCTTACTTACCTCAGACCTAGAACTGAACTAGGGTTAATCGAATTATTCACACATTTGATAGACCCTTCCAACCTCTACTTCTTTATGCATATTTGAAACCCTAGAAGGGTAACACGAACGACAGTCATCTGTTAAGATTACTGTCAATCAAACCATACTTTCTTGGGAGAAAAAGGATGATGATATTGTCAATAATAGGCAGACAAGAAACAATGCACACTTACAAAATGTAGAGAGCAGTGTTGCTAGCTCTTCATTGGATATATAGGGAGGGAATATGGACAAAGTGTAGGACGTTGACCCTTCCAAATAGATCATTTTCTTTTTCATGCAACCATGGTATGCACTTTCTACTATTCTTGTTTCAATCATTTTGGAATGCCAATATTTTCTACTTCCTTTGTTTAGGGTGTAAAAGCATGCATTTATCCCTCTCAATTGATCATTAACGACTTGGGATGAAATGAAAATGAACTGGCCATAGGGAGATTTGGTAATCAAGGAGACATGTCATGGAAGATGGATCCACTTGTGTGTGTGTGTCTTTTCCCCTTGTATGTGTGTCAAAAGAAACTCATGACAAGCACATGTAATAGATTTGGTGAAAAGGTCGGCAAGATGAGCATAAAGGAGAGTGATAGTGCTTGCAAGAAACAGATCCTGGATGAAGTGAATTCAACCTCATGCTTGGCGTGCTCATCTAAAACAGGATTGAAGGCAATGTGAATAGAACTTATATTGTTTGTATAAACAGGAGTAGGAGAAATGAGTGGAATGTGGATTTCTTGGAGGAGACTTCTTAACCAAGTAATCTTGATACAGGCAGCAGACATGGCACAATATTCAGCTTCTCAGAGGAGACGTAGAGATTGTACGTTGTTTCTTACACCTCTATGAGATAAGAGTCACTTAAAAAAATGCACCATCCAGTTGTGAAGCAATGTGTATCAAGACAACCGACCCAATCAGCATTAGAGTAGGCATGAAGATGAATTGTGGAGGAAGAGGGGAAGAATAAACCTCTTTGAAGTCCCATGGAATCATGGAGGTATCTAATGATTCAATGAAAAGCTGAGAGATATGGTTGATGAGGAGGTTAACAAACTGGTCAACAACTTGTACAGCATGCGGAATGTGTGTCACCGGTGAGATAAACAAAATTACCAATAAGACATCAATATAAGGATCTTGTAGAGGTTTATCATCACAGGAAAGTTTGACATTGAGCTCCTTGGGATTGTCAACTTTCTTGGTGTTAGTGAGATGAGCAAGCTGAATGAGATCCTTTGTATTCGTTGGTTGAAAAAAATGGCCATGGAATAAGATTGAACCTCCAAACTAATTCATGGGTCCAAGGTCCATTTTGAAGGATGGTTGCAACAATACTTTGAGATGTTAAATACCTTCTACATCATAATATGTGATAAAAGTATCATCCATATACACAAGCAAGAGTATGATTTCCCATGAGCAATGAAAAATGAAGAGGGAGGAACCATAACTACTCTATTGATAGTCTGCCCCACAAGGACATGATGGAAGTGATCAAATCAAGCATGAGGAGCACGTTTTGATCCATAAATGATTTCTTGAGGTGGTATACAGAAGGCTGATCCACATAGTATCTAGGAGGCTTCATATAGATGGTTTCCTTTAGAGTACCATGAAAGCATTAGTGACATCCATTTGAAATATTAGCCATTGGCATAAAGCAGATAGGGCAAATATAAGATGGATGGTGGTCACATCAAACTCTCCTCATAATCAATACCATATTCTTGTGTATACCTCTGAGCAACCAAGCAAGCTTTGTATTGTCAATACTACGATCTGACTTGAACTTAATAAAAAAATACCCACCTGCTACAAACAACTGTAGCATTGGAGGGAAGAGGCACCATTCTCAATCAATGCACACTTCTTATTATCCCTAGCCTCCTTCCAACAAGGAATAGCCAAAACTTGCTAGTAAGTGCATGGTATCTATGCAGCATGAAGAATCAATCACACAAACTTGACAATTTCAAAACACTAAACATGAGATCTAGAAATTGCTACATAAGGCAAAGAATTATAATGCTTTAAAGGAAAACAAACATGAAATAATAGTCTATGTAAGATGGAAATCTAATCCCATAGCAGAAGGTCCTTTCAAACTGATGAACCAAGGGAATGAAAAAAAAAAAAAAAAAATCTCATACAATACCAGACCACAAAATTTCTTATCTAAAGTGAGGAAAGTAAAATAAACTCACAACGTATGGCACTGGAGCATCAAGAAAATCAAGCATTTTTTTTGGTAGGACCTGAAAAAAAAATCAATGTACAGCTTACTGCAAAAAAGTAAAGGCAACCAAGCAATACATAAGTTCATTTGAAGCAAAACCCCTAACTCTACATGTGTGCAATATCTTTGTGCAAAACAAGGGAGAAAAAGAAAGAAAAGAAGACCAAGGATGTTGTCATGGATGTCAATTAGAAAAATAATCAGGTCTTCCAACAAATATGTAGTTGTAATTGTTCATAAGTAAATCCTTTCTTGAATCCAATGATTTCATATTTTCCAGTATGTTACACCATACCCCAAAAATAAAACTTATTAAATACATTTTTTTGATTGGTAACATTCAAAATTTAATTAATCAGTATAAAGATTAAATAATGTACAAAAGAAGTGTGTCCTTCCCAATGAAGGCCAATATATTTCCATCCTTCTTTATCTTTATTTTTAGTATTATAGCTAGGTGAATAAATAGCATCCACCCCCCCCCCAAAAAAAAAAAAAACTAGCCCTATTGGTTCCCTGCCCGTCCAATGCATCAGCTATGCTGTTACCAAATCTAGCTGTCTACTAAACAATTGCATTCATTGCTGCTACTTTTTTTTTACTTCTCTAACACAATATCTGTATTTTGTTACCTTCGAATCTCCTCTCATTACAACATTCCTATACCTTATATTCCAACCAATTCTTAGTCCTTGTAAAACCACCAACTGTTCTGCCCTTGTTGAGTTCTTTAACCTATAGGACCTGACTAAATAGCCATTATATGTTTAAAAAGACTCTTCCAATCCCTGACTCTCTGGGATTACCCAAGCAGCATCTGTCAAAATTCATCTTGATGAAAGGATATATAGGTGATATCCATGCAATGGTTACTCACTTGCTCTTACTCTTCTAGTTGAAGATTCAGCAATCCAGCAGTTCCTTATGATATGATCCATGGTAAAACGATTAAAATTAGGTGAGGTTTTTGCTCAATGTGCCACCATACCATAATAATCTCTATCAAAGATTCCCTTGAGAGGCCCTTATCTTTAAACATTCATACAATTCTTTCTTCCCAAGCTGTCTAAAGTATGGCTGTTACAGTGTTCMTGCAAAGTATCTTACCTCTTTTTCTTGGTGGTCAAGTGGGGGATTCCACTTGCATCTAAACAAGTCAAAGAAGAATGCTCAAATACCCACTACAAAAAGTCAAGAGAGTAGTAAAGGCAAGGTAGACTCAACAATCAGCTTTGCATAGAAGAGACATGCTAGGGGATAAGCACCAAAAAGGCTTTTGTCTTTTTCAATATGTTCATAAGTTTTGATTTTCTAATTAGCAATCTCCTAGTAAAAAGCCTGGATCAAAGTAAGGGTGAACCAAACAGTGGGCACACATTTAAAACTGCACAAAACCTATTGGTTTTTAAAAAATTTGAACCAAAAGCAAACTGAATCAAGTGGTTGATCGGTTAACCAGATTTTTTGGTTTGGATTACTGGTTTCTCAGATGTCATGACCTAGATCAAAGGTGGGGGACCACACCAACCAGCCTTGGAGACAAAACCTGAATTAGAAGAGGAAGCTGGAGACAAAGCCTTGAAAATCCAGAATCACATGTCCAAAAATCACCAAAAATGTTATCCAAAGATGAATTGTTCAAGGAGTCAAGTAAAGAAGATACTACATAGATCTCATTCCCTGAATCCCCTTCTAAAGTCAAGGTTCCAAGATATTCCATTAGCAGAAAAAAATAAACAGTGTGACACAACTGCACCTTGGTTGATAAGGAAAACAAACTTGGCTTGGCAATGTTCCAATCTAATTTACTTAAAAAAACCGGTAGGAAAGAGAGGAAATGGCTTTCCAAGGGCAAGCAGAAGTGGATCTCAAAACAATAGCAGCATCCCACCCATTAACATCCAAGCCAATGTGTACTATTTATCACAGCATGCAACTATCAATAAGCCTTCAAAGGGAACCTCTACAACCATTTTCCTAGAAGCACCACATTCCGATTATCCAACCGACAAATTCCTAGATTCCCATACTTCTTTCTTCAGTACACCATCACCCACTTAATCAAATGATCCTTTCCATAGGAAGTCTCTCACGGTCTTTTCCACACAGTCTCACCCGGATCCCATAGGAAGTCTCCCATGATCTTTTCCAATTTCTTGGCAACTAAAGAATTTTAGAAACAAGTAGTAGATTAGCAGGTTGAATAAAGTGGACTTGATTAGGGTGACCCTAACCCCCTAGAGAGATATAATTCTTCCAATTCGCCATCTTCTTTGAGAACCTGTCAGATGTAAATCAGTCCTGTAAAACTGATATAAACTTGGTAACATTTAGAGACAAAAGAAGAAGGAAAGAATGGAGAACAGCAGCACAAAGGAAGAAGATGGAGAAAAGAAGAGGAAGAAGAAGAGTTCAAATATCTCTTCCCACCCTTCTCTAATCCTTTTGTTAAACTTCAATCTTAGGTTAATTACAAGTATGCCCTTAAGTGGGCGACCAACTAGGCAGCAACATAAAGAGAACTAAAAAAAAGAAATAACAGGCCCATAAAGATAGGCCCAATATCTAACAAATAAATAAATGACATACTCCCCCTCAAGCTGAGTATAGATGTCAACCATGCCCAGCTTGCGTATATAGAGAGTTAGCTTCCCTCTTTGAACTCCCTTGGTCAAAATATCAGCCAACTGTTCTTCTGGTGCGATGAATGGAAAGCAAAGTTCTCCCGAGGAAACTCTTTCCCATACAAAATGTCTATCAACCTCAATGTGCTTAGTTCTACCAAGTTGAACAGGATTATGTGCAATATTGATAGCTGCTTGGTTGTCACAATAGAGCATCATTAGCCTCTCATAGTCAACCCCCAATTCTTCTAAAAGTGATCGTAACCACAGTAATTCTGACACACCATGTGCCATTGCCATGTATTCTACTTCTACAGAGGATATGGAAACTATTGATTGTTTCTTACTCCGCCATGAAACAATGTCCCCTACCACCAAAGCACAATAACCCAAGGTGAATCTCCTATCATCAATACATCCTATCCAAGCAACATCAGTGTATGCTTCTAGATTCATCTGTCCATGTTTGCCAAATAGAATTCCTTTCCCTGGAGAACCTTTCAAGTAACACAGAACTCTTTCTACAGCAGCTAAATGAATATCTCTGGGAGAATGCATAAATTGACTAATAACACTAACTGCATAGGAAATGTCTAGCCGAGTCATGCAGAGATATAACAATTTCCCAAGCAATCTCTGAAACACTCCCCTATCAGATAAAAGTTCACCATCTATAGCAGAAAGCTTATGATTGGGATCAATAGGAGTGGAGGCTAGTTTAGCACCAAGTTTACTAGTCTCAAGAAAGAGGTCAAAGACATATTTGTGCTAATAAATGAAGATACCATCCTTAGAGCTARCAACTTCACTGCCCAAAAAACATGGAGATCTCCTAAATCCTTGATTTCAAATTCAGAGTTCAGAAAAATTTTTGAGTTTACTGACCTCCTGGGTGTCATTACTCGTGACCACAATATCATCAACATAAACTATCAAAAAGGTCACCAGAGAGCCACTTCTTTTCAAAAACAAGGTTTGGTCAGATTGAGTTTGTGTGTAACCAAATGAGACAAGAGCAGCCCTGAATCTCTCAAGCCAAGCCCGAGGAGACTTTTTGAGACCATAAATGGATTTCTGAAGTTTACAAACCTTCCCTTGCATTTCCTTTCCATACACTCCCGGAGGCAAAGACATATAGACCTCTTCATGTAGATCTCCATTCAAGAAGGCATTTTTAACATCAAACTGGAGGAGAGGCCATTCAAAAGTAGTAGCTAGGGACAACAAAACCCGAACTGAGACATATAGACCTCTTCATGTAGATCTCCATTCAAGAAGGCATTTTTAACATCAAACTGRKGGAGAGGCCATTCAAAAGTAGTAGCTAGGGACAACAAAACCCGAACTGAGTTCATCTTAGCCACAAGAGCAAAGTTCTCAAGATAGTCAATACCATACATCTGAGTGTAGTCTTTAGCAACCAGCCTGGCCTTAAACCTCTCAATAGAGCCATCAGAATGATATTTAATGGCAAATACCCATTTACGACCCATTGGCTCCTTCCCTTCTGGCAAGTCAACAATATCCCAAGTATGGTTCTTATGCAAAGCATCTAGTTCAGCCATTATAGCATCCTTCCATTCAGGTTTAAATAGGGCTTTTGGTACAGACCTGGGTATCAAATGGGAAGAAACAAAAGCAAGAAAAGAATAATAGGTAGGAGATAAAAGGCTATAGGACAGGTGTTTAGAGATACAATGGACTGCACACTTCCGCTTGCCCTTGCGAAGAGCAATAGGAAGATCAAGGTCTAGGAAAGAAGTAGATGGGTCAGAGGAGGGCTGACCAGTTACCTTAGTAACGATGGGAGGAGCAAGAGGCTCATCTGTAGGAGTGGAAACAACTTGCCCATGTCTGAATCGGTGTCTTTGCTACCACCTTTGGAGAACAGGATGAGGAGAAATTACATGAGGATGAGGTGGAGGAGGAGGAATAAGAACACTGGAGGYAGGCCCAGTGGGAGAAGTGGACACCTCATCAGATGGCTCAAAAGGAACAGGAAGAGGAACTGCTGGAGACATAGCAAAGGGTTCCTCAGATTTCTCCCCCTCAGGAGGAATCCTAAAGAAAGGAGTAGACTCAGCAAATGCGACATCTTGAGAAACAAAACGGCTCCCACTAACTAGATCAAAACAGCAATATCCCTTCTGCGTGGAGGCATATCCCAGAAAAACACATTTACGAGCCTCAGGTTCAAATTTGTGCCTTTGATGGCTGTGAACATGTACATAGCAGGTACACCCAAAAACACGGAGAGGAAGAGAGAAGAGATTCTCATCCAAAAAGAGAAGGCTAAAGGGGGTTTTGAAGCCAAGAACCCGGGAAGGCATATAGTTAATCAAAAAGGTAGCAGTAAGGACAGCATCTCCCCAAAATTTTATAGGAACATGGGGTGCAAAAGGAATGATCTGGAAACTTCAACCACATTCCGGTTCTTCCTTTCCGCCACTCCATTCTGTTGTGGAGTGTAGGAACAAGAACTCTGATGAATAACCCCAAAAGTTTCAAGATAGGTTGAGAGGGTTTTCTCAAAATACACCTTAGTATTATCAGAACGGAATATTTTGATCCGTGTGTTAAACTAGGTACGGATGAGTTCATGAAATTTTTGCACAATAGTTGGTACTTCATCCCGAGATTTCATGAGATAAATCCAAGTGTAACGGGAGTAATCATCAATAAAAAGGATAAAGTACTTGTAACCCCCCATAGTAGGCAAATGATATGGCCCCCACACATCAGAGTGAACAATATGAAAAGGAAAAATAAATCTTTTATTGCTTATTGAATAAGATTGTCTACAATGCTTTGCCAGTTCACACGACTCACAATGAAGACTTGATAAAGACACTCAAACATATCTGGGAAAAAATGACTCAAAGCAAAAACAGACAAATGACCAAACCGAAAGTGACATAAAATGACTTTGTCAATAGACTCTGACAAAACTAACTCCAAGGCAACTCCATGAGGTGGTCCAAGAACTCTATCAGGTGTATCCAGCAAGTATATTTCATTCGCCTCATGGCCACTCCCAATCAACCTCTGAGATTGCAAGTCCTGAATAACACAATGAGTGGGAAAGAAGGTTATACTACAATTCATGGATTTAGTTAAGCTGCTAGCAAATAAAGGATTTGTATTAAATTTAGGGACATGAAGGACAGAGGATAAATAAAGAGTGTCAGAGGTCTTGATATCCCCCTTGCCAGAAATGGGAGAAAGAAACCCATCAGCAAGGGAGATTTCCTCTACCAGAGAGAAGGTGGTATGAACAAAAAAGATTAGACAAGCTGGTCATATGGTCTGATGCACCAAAATCTATGATCCAAGGGATTTTATGATTACCTGAAACTTAAGCATGGTTTGTAGAAGCACGAATACCTAAGTGAGCAACCTTCCATACTTTTCAAAATCTGCCTTCATTGCTGCCAACCGTTCCATGGTTGACTTCTCTTCACTCTCCCCTTACTTCCTCCTTCGGGTACTGTGGCAACATTAGCAGTCTTAGGCTTTCCTATCTTACTGATCTTCTTAAAATTGTTGTTATTCTTAAACCGGTCAGGTAGAAGATCAAGATGAAGCTTCCAACAAGTGTCCTTAGTATGCCTCGGTTTCTTGCAATATTCACATACCAGCTCCGTCTCAGTTGGACCCATTCGGCTTTATTCCAGCATATGCAAAGTGTTCCGTAGGTGGACTCTGTAACTGAACCTGCCACCTACTCTCCTCACTGCTTACCATAGCATATGCCTGGGCAAGAGTAACCTCATCTTTGGCCAAAAATATTCTGCCTAATGATGTCAAACTCAGGGTTGAGTCCAATAAGAAACTCAAAGACCCTGTTTCATTCCACCAACTTCCTAAAAGTTTTTGTATCCTTCGTATCCTCCCATACAACTGTCTCCATAACATCAATTTCCTGCCATAACGATTTCAGCATAGAATAGTAGATTGCCACACTCTTCTCCCCCTATCTTAGGTTCTTCACATCACTTTTCAACTTGTAGATTCTAGCCACATTCAACCTCTGTGAATAGGTTTCARTGACACTGTCCCAGATCTCCTTGGCCGAGGACATCCAGAGATAGTGCTGACTGATATGAGGCTGCATAGAGTTGACCAACCATCCTATCACTGTATAGTTCTCCTGCATCCATTTCTCAAATTCAAGGTTTGTCTCTTCGGGTTTCACCTTACTGCCTGTGAGATACCCTAATTTTCCTCCACTACAGACATAAATCCTTATAGACTGTGCCCAAGCAAGATAATTGGTTCCATCTAGCTTAATTGTGGTCACATCTGTCAAACAGAATCTACCGAGCCAAGCCCGGAAACCGGAACCTGCTTGAACTCACTTCCGTATTGCTCCATTAATCAAATGAAAATCAAAAAACCAGAAATTTGATCTTTATAAACTTACTTGAAGTGAAACCAGCACCCAGATGCTTGAAAACTAGGATTTCACTGCGCCTAGCTATCAAGGAGAAAGAGAGAAGATGCAGCCGCTCCTACTAAAGCTTCCCAATCTCTTCAAAAACTGAACCGCCCTCTTTTAGAAGTCAAAAGGCACCTCCCAAGCACAGAGTGCCACACCCAAAGCTTCACTTTTACCTGTAACTTCGAAAATCTCTAATCAACTAGGGTTTTGGGCGGAAACAGTACAACATTACTTCTTGGTAGTTTCCGGCCAGAATTCAACTCTCCAAACCCTCTACCCACTAGGCAAAAGGTCCTCTGAATTATAGAGAACCTATCTCTCCATACACACTCTTAATCGAAGGGTGTATGGGAAAAGAGAAAAAAAAAGAAAAAGAAAGAAGAAGAAACCTGCTCTGATACCAAGATGTAAATCAGTCCTGAAAAACTGATATAAACTTGGTAAAATTTAGAGAGAATAGAAGAAGGAAAAAATAGAGAACAGCAGCACAAAGGAAGAAGATGGAGAAAAGAAGAGGAAGAAGAAGAAGAGTTCAAATATCTCTTCCCTCCCTTCTCTAATCCTTTTGTTAAACTTCAATCTTAGGTTAATTACAAGTATGCCCTTAAGTGAGCGGCCAGCTAGGCAGTAACATAAAGAGAACTAACAAAAAGAAATAACAGGCCCATAAAGATAGGGAAATTAGCTAACAAATAAATAAATAACATACTACAAGAAAGATACTAGGGCCCATTCGGCCTAGTCTCTCTACATTGTCAACCACTAGATACCAAAAATTATTAGTTACTTGATCACCATCCAATGGTAGCCTCAAGTATTTCAACAGCCACTCTCCCATTTTACATCTAAATCTCTATCTTCACACAAAGGACTCCTCTAAATTTAACCCACCAAACAACTCTTAGGTAGACTTCCAAATTTCTTCCAAACCTAAAAAAGATTGTAAATTTATAAAATACTTATACTAGAGAGATGTTTTCAAAGAGTTCCACATCATTGAACATTACACAATAACATCGAAACTGCTATGAAAAGCCCAAAATTTTGATATTCTATACAAATATTTTTGGCATTCGACTGCAATATCATTAAAAATAGTCATAACTCTCACAAAAACGTTCTGGCTACAATAGTTTAAGAAAGACACTGCCTGCTTCATGATATTGAACTTACTGGTAGTAATAAACTCTGCCATTCAAATGGACGAATCATGGGAATTAGTGACAATACAGTGGCTGAGAGGACTCCCTGCAAAATGAAATTCAAATAGGAGAATCAATTGGAAGAAAACTTCTTTTGTTTTCTTTTCTATTATGTTCAAAATTCATAAGAAACCATAAAACACTTTCTGGACATGAAAGATCTCCATTCTAAAATTAACTTACCAAATTGGGGCATACAACTACTATTTGCTTTTCCAGTAGAACTCCTGAAAACAATGCTAAAACCTGAAAGATACAGTACATATCATACGTCCTTACTACAAAAAAGATACATGAAACATGTGTCTAAGATAAGGTGCATTGCAAAAGACATTACACTTTCAAGAGATAGAACTCGGCAAACAGTTGCAGTAGTCCAAATTGATAGTGCAAGAGCTTCCTCAGCAGCAGCTAACCTTGCATTAACCTTGTTTAGATATACCTGGATCAGATGAAACTAATGATGAAGAAAAAGGAAAACAGATCCTAGCAACATTAATTACCTCATCAGTCTCTACTAAACCCTGTATATCAGTATAATTTCCGCATAATTCAAGGGAAGAAATTGGAGGTCGACTATATTTTATAGCCTGTAGATGTTCAAGTGGTTCAAAAATTATTTCATTTCCTCGTGCTGGAACAGAAAGATCTTGATAACTGCAAATTATCTGTAGCAATTTGTTTTTGTGCTCCTGTCTCAAACACCATAAGAATTATTAATAAAATATGATGAAACAGAAAACAACTTCACGAAAATAACATTGAGGAAGAAATAACCTTAGCCCATTCTATTATAATATCATTCCCAACTTCATCATCTTCATCTTCTGATATTACTGAACTGCCAAAAGCTGACAAAATATTAACTCAACTTCTTTCAGAGAAAGAATGAAAGAGCAAGGAAACTAGGGCAAAAGAAGACAAATGCCACAGAAGATTTATATAGACTACGATAAAAAATAACAATATCTATCTACTCATAAGTTTCAATGATAAAACCAGTAAACTAATTAAAACCAAGCAATCAAACTAGGGCAAAAGAAGAAGAAGAAAATCTACCAGCTTAATAAGGATTCAGAACTCTCAACACGCTCTAATTTACGGCTCTTAGAGCAGATAAATGAACTAATATCTGGCAACATTTGACCATTTTCATAATTTCCATTCATCCTTTCGAAGCTTTCGGACAGGGCTTCTGAAGTCTCAGGTGCATAATCATCAAAATATTGTTCGCTAGTGTAACCACTTTCAGGAGATTGAGGTTCTGACAACCTTGAGGAAAAAGAAGGGATTCTGTCATCTGAAATAAGGCCTACTGCAGCTGCACTAAGGGCTACTGCATTGTCAAGAGGTATTGCTGAATCCATCCAATCACTGTAACAGTCCCTGTTAGGGGAGTCATTGTTCTCATTCATCTGATCCTGTATTTTAATCCCTGAGAGGAAACTATCGCTGAGAGTCACTTCACTAACAAATTGGGTTATTCTATCCAGACGCTCTTGGGCAATGATACTGTACACATGAAAAGCAAAAGGAAAAGAAATGCCAGTTTCTCTTAGAAACAAAATCCATTAACCAATAGATCATGGTAGAATATTTGTAAAATTACTGCCAACCTGTTCAACATCTCATAATGTAACTCAAAGAAAGGAATTCTAGTAAGCACACAATAGCAACGAGGTGCAGAAACCAGAAAGCGGCTCCCCCGGCCAGACGATTGAGAAATAGGTGAAGTGCCACCTAAAATACCAGGTGGCCTCTGAACAATTTCCTGTACATGTAAGCAAACACCATAAAGTGTTGCACTGTCTGCCACCTGATCAAAGAAACATAGAAAACTTCAGAAGAAATGTAAAACAATAAATACAAAAATATAAGAATGTATACTCCTAGAAGGCAGTTCAGATCAATTTCAAGCAGACATCTGTTGCACAATCAAACTTTGCTGGGTGCACTTTCCAAAATTTTATCACGACAAAGATTGTTTTGTAATATTGTTCCATTGAGTCGTATTCTTTAGGTAAAGCCTTCATTAAAGGGGAAAATCCAATTGCTACCTTGAAAGGCATGTTTATGCCATTAAAAGAAAATGGTTAAATGACAAAACTGGTAAGAATACCTAAAGTGCCAAAAAAAACAATGTTACCCCATTTTTCAATCCATCCATTCTATAAGTCACTTCTCCTACCAAGTTTGCCACTTGTAGATAACATAATCAAATTCAACTTCAAAGTCAGTTTATCCACATAAATGATTTTTAGCCAATAAATTGATGGAAAGTATACTCAAAAGATCTTCCAATAGATTTAAATAACCAAAAAAAAGTGCTTTATGTCCAAGTGCTTTTAAAACAAGAGCCCGATGAAAAAATGAAAGAAAGGAAACAATAAGATGCAGAATTGAGCCCCAATCAATTTGATTTAAATAAATTATTCTTATAAATTGTAAGGTTAACATATCAAAATATATGATTTGAACAATAAGCAATAAACATTTTTAGAAGGATTTAATACTAAGTTGAATCCAAACCCTTACTATTTATAGATCATGTTGTAAATTCCAAGAGTCTTTAATATCAAGACCAGAAAACGTGCACATGCTTCACACGTGGCAATTTTAGATGATTATGATGACAGTAACAATATGTTTCCAAATTTTTCTACATTTGTTTATATTTCAGTGTATAAAAATAATTCTTATTTATCACACTTATCTTTGTTTAATATGATGAATATATGATATTAGAGATGTGTCCAAATTTTTTCTACAATTTGTTTTTGTAATTTTTGTGTTTTTATATTTTTTTAATTTTTATTATTTAATTGTAATATCAAGGGCTGACACATTTGATCCAAAAGGATGAATTTTTTGTTGTGAGACATAATGATGTGGGCTTGGGCCTTCACTGTTTATGTTTTGTTTTTAGTAAATAAGGATCCTACAACACCTCAAAACATCAGGATGAGTTTTTTTCCCAATTTTTGTTTTTGACTTGGGGAGAATGATAGGAATAAAGCCTGCCAAGATATGGAAGAAAAATAAATAGATAAATAAAGTACCAATATAGAAGCAAGATCCATTCAACAATTTCCTATTTTTTGTGTGGCATAAGTTGTCAATAAAGACAGAAATATAAAGGAACCTAATTACTATTTAGAAAATCTTACATTTGCTGCTAGACAAAATTGTTATTTGACCAAAATTACAAGTTTAAAAGCAGGGCAGTATTGTAATTGTTTCTGTCAAGATTAGATTAATAAAAGATTAGTGGACTAGAGTAAGGAGAGAAGAAATTGAACCATCTACTCCTTCTCCCTTCTTCTTCATCTTCTTCCTCTTCTTCACTACTGTTTCTCTTCTATTTCTCTCTTTTCTCTCTATAATTTGAAATTTATTTTCTGATTCTATTGGACTGAATCACATCTTGGTATCAGAGCACCCCTCCTTTTTTTCTCTTTTTTCTTAATCCCATACACCATAATTGTCAAGGTGACACCTAGGCGGGCGCCCAGGCGACTAGGCGATTTTTAGAAGTCGCCTCGCCCAACGCCAAGTGTTTTTTGTATTAGGCACTCACACATATACACATTATATCATTTTTTGAATGCCTTTATATATATTGTATCATTTTATTGGTTGGTTTTATTTTATTAGAATACATCCTGTTGTATGTTATAACTTTTTTTATAAAGATAAATCTTTCTTTACTAAAGCTACCGAAGTTTCTTTGGGTTTGAGTTCTGAACCGAGACTGAGAAGAGAAACTGAGGACTCAGTCCAAGTCATCCAACACCTCCCGGTAAGTTTCTTCTTCTTCTTCTTCTGTCCAATTGTTCTGTGGTCCTTTTTTTTCCTTAATTTTTTGGGATGAAACAGGGGCTCTGCCTCTTCAGCCTCCTCCTCCTCCCACCTTTCTCAAATCAACCTCGTACTCCAGTATTTTATTTTCTAATTTGAAAAAAAAAAACTTTTGGAAACAAAACAGGGGTTCCGCCCCCTGTTTCTTCTTCTTCAACAGGGGCTGCGCCCCAACTTTCTGAAACTTTCCTGAGTTTTTTTGCACTATTTTTTAATAATGCTTTATTTTGGGATGAAACAGGGGCTCTGTCCCTTTATTTTCTCTCTTTTTTTTTGCTACATTCCTCATTTTTTTGTTGGCCTGAAACAGGTATGATGTATATGATGGAATTTTATGTTTTATTTGAATGAATTTATTGCTAATAACCAGTATACGGTAAGTTGGTCAGTATATAAAACTAAAACAGTAGCTTAAAAAGGGTTAGGGATCTTTATTTTATACTTTCAAATTCCATCGCCTAGGCGCCAAGGAGACTGGGCACCCTATAGTCACCTAGGCATGTTGACAATTATGCCATACACCCTTCGACTAGAAGAGTGTATGGAGAAATAAGTTGCTGATTGTTTTTCAGCCATTTGTGCCTAGTTGGAAGAGGCTTTTGAGAGATAGAAACTGACTATAGATTGCCAAGAAACTATGGCTGCTGATTTTTGCCCAAAACCCTAGCCAACAAGAGAGCTTTCCATTTACGAGTAATGTTTTAAAATGCAGAGGCGTGACGTGAGGCGTTCCACTACCTAGAGGTGTGAGGTGTAGTTCAAAACGTAAGAGGCATAAGCCTTCCAAACACAAGGAGGCATAAGCCTTCCAAACACAAGGAAGCGTAAGCCTCCCTAAGAGGAAGGGGATGAGGAGGACGAAGGAGGAAGAGGAAGGATCTCATTTTTCTTTATTTTTAATAAAAAAATATTTTATATTAAGAAGAATGAAGATGCATAGCACTATTTATTAAAAAAATCTTTTCTTCCCTTCCCTTCCCTTTCTTTTCCTTTCCTTTTGTTTTTTTTTCTTGTATTTTTATATGAGGTGTGCATGTGGTGCACGAGGCATACGCCTCTAGCACACCTCATGAAAAAAGCGTACGAGGTGCACGCCTCACCTAGAGGTGCGCCTCCAGGAGTATGCCTCCACACCTTTTAAACCACTGTTACGGGTCAAGAAGACCGTGTTAAAGTGGAGATCAAATCTTGGGAGGTCTATTTTGATCCCTAGAAGAGATCGGTTGAAGTTAGAGATTGTTTGGGAAGCACTGGTAAGAGCAGCTGCAGTTCTCCCATTTCTTCCAAGTACTTGGGTGCAGTGAAACCCTAGTTTTTGGGTCTACTAGCTTGGGACTGATTGCAGTTAGGTCTATCAGAACTAAAATCGTTGTTTTTGGATTTTCGTTTGGTTAATGGGGAAATCTTGAAATGAGATGAAGCAGAACCCAGAGTTCGGGATTGGTGGAAACCTAAAATTGTCTGTAATGGATTTAACTGTTTCTGAAATCTCTTTGCAAATGTATTTATATTTATCATATGTTATTTTATGAAAAAGGTTTGCAAAAGGTTTAACCCCGGGTCCATCTGAACAGAGGGTGTGACACTGCATTCAGTAGTCTGGGAAGATGACCTTCCCTATGAATAGTGTTTGATCATTTAGGGCTGAGAAGTTATGAGCAAAAGACCATTTACAGGGACATCTTATGGGCTTTATCTTACGTCAATCCATTATCCTTGGGCTTCATAGGGTAGCTGAAACCAAGGATCACTTAGACTTAAGTGATTAGAGGACTAAATCATATCAGATTTGGATAGTCCTAATCACATTAGGATTGGGATCTAAACATAAGAGACAAGGGGTAGAGGTCGACCACTACTACCCAAAAACCCTAGATCGACCTAGCCTTGAGAAGCCTTGTTTCTCTTTGTTTCTATTGTGTTTTCTTCTGCAAAAAATCGGAAATTAAAGTGGTTTTACATCTGCAAAAATCCAAGTTGTTTGGAGAAGGAATTCGGTTGAAACTAGTTGCAAGATCAACCTCTTCACATCAACTACACCATCTTCAGTTGGGAGGATAATTTGAACTTGATTTTTTTTTTTTTTTTGCCATTTGATCTTGAATTTTAGGCGTGAACCACCATTCTGTGAGTTGCACTCTGTGGTCTCCATATCAGGCACACTCGTTTTATTTGAAAACCAAATCTGGTTCAACCCAATGCTGGATCAATCATAGGAGAATCTGATTMTTGGATGTGGACTGGAAAAAATTTTGAAATATGGCCAATAAACCCTAGCTGGTTGGGCCAACATATTGATGTTAACAGTCTGTTCAATAGTAAATTCTATTGTTTTAGGTACATATATGATAGATATGACTTAAAAATAGGGTAGAACACTTATCTCTATATATTTAGCCTTTTAACATTTCTATATTTAATTTTTTGACAAGTTTGTAAAAAATAGAAATAATCTTAAAATATTACGATACAATAACAATTTTCAAAATAGACATATATTTTAAGTACTTTATTATTTTTGTTTTTCAAAGCTGATGCCTCACTTGTGCTTCATGTTATAGGAACTCCTTGTGCTATACTTGCATTGCACTTGAGTTTTAAAACATAGGTATTAATGTCCTATAATGATGACAAACACATGAAACTATAACTGAATTTGTGAACATACAAAATAATTAGAGAACACTTGGTGCTCCTAGACATCATCATACTCTATCAAGAAGAAACCTGCATAAAAAATAAATAAGAAAATATGCATAAGACTTACCTTGAGAGAAAAAATAAATGCTAAATCATCTTTGTTGAGATGCTCCTGCAAAAAAGATATAATAATAACCATACATGCTTCTCTTTTACTAGGAGGATAAAAACAAATATAAAGAATTCCATAATTCTGCAAACACAATGTCAAAAGGGTAAAAGAAAATTTCAGATGGAATATGAAATGAAAATAACTGAAATCGAATGTCAGTGAACAAAGAAAATGGTAATTAACTGTCATAAAAACCCACTAAAAATATTTAATAACAACATTTTAATATGCGCTGAAGCAACATGGTTGAAGAAAAGAGGAGTGCAAGGCCCCATTCATGGATCAAGTTCTAAAAAAGAGGGAAAGACATAAACTAATCAATTCGTTGTGTACGAGATCCTCAGGCACAATTTCAAGGCTGAAGCATGTCATTAGCACAATCTTTTAAACTTGTTGACATTCATTGTCAATAAATATGTATATCAAGATATACAAGGAGTAATCACTATATCTATACAATCAAGGTTTAAAATGTTGGTGTTGGTGGAAACTTCAGTACTCCAAATATAGAAAACATGTTAGAAATGTCATATAAAAGCATTATAAAAAGTATGGGCATGGTGAAAACACTGAAATATGTGAAAATATAGAATGATATTTTATGAAATGATAAAAGAGGTGTTGAGGTTTTTGGGCAGATTTGTGCATATTTAGTAGTTGTTTTTGTTTATTATTTGTTTAGATAGGAATTGAGGACCACAGCACACTTGTTGGGTCCCTTTTTAGTGGTTCTTTTAAGTTTTTATGCAGTTTTACATGTTAGCCGCCCTATAAGGGCATATTAGTCATTGTAGCCTTCTTTTAATTAAAATTATAAATACTAGTGGGAGGGCGGCCAGAAATGATTTGCTCTCTCTTTCTTTCTTAATCTCTTCTCTTCTCTTTCTCTTCTTCCTCGAGATATATTTCTTTTCTTTACAGATTCTTTGATTCAGCCAGTTTTCTACTTAGTGGTATCAGAGCAAGACTAGGGTTTCTTGGAGTTCTGGCATGCAGTCCTAGATCAGACAATTGCAAGAGGAAATAAAGGGCTAATCAATCTACTTCAGACTGCCCAGTTCTGGGATTCTTTTAGTGGGTTCCAGTCATCAAGAGGATGATCTGTGTTTTGGCATCAAAATTAGGAAGGACTGGAGTGCAGGGAAAAGTCTTAGTCAAGTTGGACTCTTCATTTTTTATCTAATATTGGGTGCTTGGACCTTTATGGACTTCTCTAGGTTTTATATAGGGGTGGTTTGGTTTCTAGTAGTTTCTGAGCCTTCTAGAGTGATCGATTCACTCTCTCTGGTGGGAGAAGGTGCGAGAAGAGGGATTTCTCTCCAAATAGGTTTTTCTTCTTTTGGAAAGGTCTGTTACCCTTGTATGTGAGATCGATTTGATATTGGAGGCATTCTACCTAGTTATTTTTTGTTTTTGAATTGTTTGAAGTTGAAAAGGAGAGTTGGAATACTAAGCAAAAGTCCACCGGTAACATGAGTGTGGGTGTAGGAGGTACTAGTAACTCTTTTGGGTTTGGAATTATTACCACAGTAAAATTCTATGGTACAAATTATTTAGAATGGATACAATCAACCAAGATGGCCATTGGTGCTCGTGGGAAACTGGAGTACATCATTGGGGAGGAGAAGAAACCTGATACAAATTCCCCTCGATGGGTACAGGAGAAATACATGGCAATGTTCCCGGTTGTGTAATTCTATGTTACCTCACATTGGTAAAAATTTTTTGTAGGCTAATAATGCAAAGGAGATTTGGGATGAAGTGACTGAAACCTATTCCCAGAAACAAAATGCACCTAGAAACTATTAGTTAAGTAATCAGGTGATTAATACAAAATAGGGAGATAGACCACTTGCTATGTATTTCTCCATGTTGAAAACACTTCGACAATAGATAGATCACTTAGACAGTGTTTTAAAAGTGCAAGGCGCAAAAAAGGTGTAAAGGCTAATTTGCACCCGAGGCGCAAGGCACAAGGTGAGGAGTGCAGGAGTAAGGACAACTTATGAGCAAGAAGGATTCAGCCGGTTCTAGTTCTTCAAACGGGTAGTGAAGTGCAGGAGCCAATCACACTACCTCCTTTGCTTATATAGGTAGTTCATATGTGGTTGCAAATTATGCATTCACCTCAGTTAAGGAGGGACCTCCTTGGATTATAGACTCAAGAGCATCTGAGCACATGACCAATATATCTACCCTTTTCAATTCTTATCAACTGTGCTCTGGTAGAGACAGAGTCTCTACAACAGATGGTTGTCATATTCCCATTGCTGGAGTTTGTCCCAGAAGCTGATGCCCTACTAGAAACCCTGCAGTAGGTAGTACCCATTTAGCAGCTAAGAGAGATCTGTGTGGAACAGATCTAGGTGGAAGGACTGAGTTAGACAGTCCTAGTACAGATCGTAAGGGTGGTCACAGTCTAGGTTCGACCACCGGAGGTGCCAAAGTGGTAATGCCCTCGGCTACAGCTACGATAGTAGAAGTAAAAGCCCAGTCCAAAAGTGTTCAGCACAGTACAGGGGTGGATTGTTCTTGGTTTCAGACCTGTTACGAGGGGTTCTCAGACTTGTAACAGCTTCGRTAAGTCTGAAATCGTGTTCTTTGTACTGCGTTATCAATTGTGATCACTGTAAGAGGAAGGAGATGTCTTCAATATCGGGAGAAGTGTCTTCTAGGGATAATAGAACTGGTGGGAGGTCTTCTAATCTGGAAAACCCAAATCTGCACACCTTGCAGATCACCAGTGTATTGTTGGATGAATATAACTTCAGAGAATGGTCTGTTTCAGCCATGCTCTTCATTACTTCTTGGGAACTTACGGGTTATTTAGATGGACAGAAGCAGTAACTTGAACTGGGTAGTGTGGAGTACACAATATGGCGTAAGGAAAATGCTATTGTTATGTCCTGGCTGCTTGCTTTGATGACTCCAAGAGTGGCCAGGACTGTTCAACACTTTCCCACTGCTGCTAAGATTTGGGAGAAAGTGTCTAAAACTTATGGACAGAGAAAGAACAATGCAAGAATCTATACGCTAAACCAAGACATTGCTGCATTGAGACAAGGAGATGTGACAGTTGCAACTTATTTTGCAACCCTAGAAGGACTATGGGAAGAACTTGATCATCATCTTATTCTTGGTTGGGAGAATATAAGAGACAAGGAGAGGCATGATAAACAAATTGAAGAAGGTAGAGCCTTTAAGTTCTTGCCGGGCTTAGACCCAATGTATGAGAGCATAAGGTCTCAAATTTTGGGAAGGGATGAAATGCCAAATTTACACCATGTCTACTATCTACTAAGGAATGAAGAGGTTAGGAGGAAAGAGATGCAAGTTGACACTCAAATACAACCTGTTGAACATTCATCCTTGATTTCTTCAAACCAAAAAGGGAGCAAGCACTCGGACAAGAGGCATCTTAAGTGCACTCATTGTGGAGGTGAAAGGCATGTAAAAGAGACTTGTTGGGTTCTTTATCCTCATCTGAAACCAGCTGCGTTAAGGAAAGACAATAAGCCTCAGAGGAATCAAACAACAAGTGGGAACCTTGTTACTAGTCACAGTGGTGAGAGCCCGAAGAACACAGCTACAGTTACACCTCCTCCCATGGGACAGACTGCTAATTCCCACACATCCGGGTCCTTAGATTTCACTGCTGATGAGGTAGAGGTCCTTAGCCGGGCCTTAACCCGTCTAAGGACTAATTCCCTTGCTTCCACCTCTCTTGCCAGATCAGGTATTGTCTCTGCTTATAGTGCAACTAGTTCTATAGAGTCTACCTCTTGGATTATTGATTTCGGTGTAACTGACCACATGACACACATGTCCTCTTTATTTTCTTCATATCATTTGATGTCTAGCCAAGATAAGATGAGAGTTGCTGATGGTTCTCTCCACCATCTCTGGGAAGGGGGGGTTGACCTAAGCAAGGGCCTCTCTTAAATCTGTTCTACATGTTCCCAATCTTACTTCCAATCTCCTATCTGTTTCGAAGCTTACCAAGAATTTAAACTGTAGCATAACTTTCTTTCCTACTCATTGTGTCTTTCAGGACAGACTGACGAAGAGAACGATTGGGAGCGGTCATGAGTGTGGAGGTCTCTACTATTTTGATGCAGACATCAGTTCGGCCTTACAATCATCT